AAACTGTCCGTCCTGAATGCAAGCACCTCCATGCTTCAGGATGGGAAATCTGTGGTGAGTTGCCAAGTGTCATGTCTTTGAACCATTTCTACCAGCATGAATGACCTCAAGTTAGAGGTCACAGGCCCTTTAAGTTCCACAGCTTGGTTTTGAGCTGCCCTGCAGCTGGTGTTGGAGGAACTCTGGCTGGTGCAGAGAGCAATTAGCACAGTAATATCATGGTGGTTATGCAGAAGCCCTACACTAACACATTTTAGACTAGCATTCAGTAATGCACAGCTGTTACTGCTACTATTAACGATAATTGTGTTCAATCCAGTTGGTGACTGCCAGCAATCTTAGGAAATACATTTCATTTTGGAAACACCTTGTGTTTAAGAGTTTCTGAAACTAAATATGGCTGGACTTCAGTTCTGTGAAAAATTTCCAGTGTTTCACTTTTCCTCCCAAAGCAGGATGAAAAGTATTCTGGTAATTTGGAAATTATCACAGAATGGAAATTCATCTCCCTGGCCAGCTCTATTTATGAACTCATTAATTCAAGCGCTCGTCTACCAACCAAAGACTTCCTAGCCTTTAATTATATTGGAAGTATGTGCTTTAGCATTGTCCCTCTGGTTTTGTTTCCAGAACCTCTTTGAGATTCTTTCTACCTTTCCTTACTGTTGGCTATGATGGCACTTGGAAAGCATTAAGAAACTGTAAGAATGCCAAGGAGTTAGTTTTCTTGTGAGATTGTACATGACATTTGAGGAATAACCCTTCAGCTAGCTATCCATTCCCTCCTCTGAGGAGACCATTTACTTTCTACTGAATTATTAAAAAACACAAAACCCACAGTGTCCTGGTTTAGGACAAAGCTGATTCAGTAAAATTCATAAAGCTGAATGCCTCTTTTCTAGTTCTTCCTCATGAATGTGGTCTTACTTTTAGAGTGTTCTATATGGTGATGCAGACCAGGCCCACTCTTAATTCAGTGCTTAATTTTAGGCCTCCAGATCTGAAAAGCTTGGCCTGCAGTCATAAGTATACATTCTTTATGCACCTTTCAGAAGACAACTCTGATTGTCTTACATTGATTTTGAGACATTATTCTTTGTGCTTTGTCTTTGCCAAATGTCAAAATACAGCTGTTTCTTTGCTTAAGGGATACATTATGCTAAGTGCACTGGAAAAACACATTGGCAAATGATATAATACTCTGGAAAAGAGAAAAAAACTTGGAAGGTGCTGGGGGGAAAAAAGGAAAAAAAATAAAGAAAGTAAAAGAGTAACCTTGCATCATACTGCTGGCAAATTTTGTCAAGCCAACAGCCAATGAGAGTTAATATGGCTTTACTCTCAACAAACCTGCAGCAATGCTATTATAGTTTCACTACACTGTTTATGAAAAGCTGAGCTGGTCTGGAAGGCATTACATGAAAGACAGTTCCTGGAAAAAGGGAAAAAACCCTCTAATCATTGACAATGCTCATGTCTGAAACCTGGTTTTTGAATGTACATTAGAATGCATAATGTAAATACTGAAAAATGGAGAGAATGTGTTACTTCCTGATTTTAAAACAATAATACCCTTTCTACTCTAGCAACTACTAAATTTAGTGACATCTATGCATCCTTATAGAAGGAGAGAGACCAGGATGATTAAGATACATGTGCCTCTGCACTTGTTCCCTTTCAAAATCTGACATTTCTGTTCTGAAGTAACCAGTTATCCCTCATCCCAGAATGAGACTTTCAAGGCAGCCTCCTGCAGCACTGCAGCCATACCTGCCCTTTGCAACTACAAGTGCAGCAGCACCCCTGCCACCATCATGCAAAGGCTTTAGGAGGAGAAGTAGCAGTGGTCAATGTGGGATCATTGTCCGTAATTGTACACATGTACATGCAGACACACTCTATCACTGAGGGTATCCTTAGTCTCTCATGCCTGGGGCTTGCATGTGTGGATGTCAGTGTTTCAGCTACACTTTTACCCACCTAGCTGCATATTCTGGCTTCTCCTGGTGTGTACATAGCCCTGTGGGGCAGTGGGCCTTCCAGCACACCTAGACTTTGTTGTGGAGTACATCTCAGGACAGCACGGCTGCTGAGCCTTCCATGAACTGGAAACAAGGTTGGTACCTTTGGGGATGCTGAGTAGAAGCACTACTGCACCACTTTGGATACAGGTGCCTCTCTTTACAGGGGGCTGCTCAGCTCAGGTGCCTGTGCCCTGGCTGCAACTGCTCTGTGTACATGTGCCTCAGAATAAATGGAGAATTTTGTGTCTTGGAACTGTTGTTCAGAGCGAAGAACACAATATTTAAGTTTAGGATGAATAAAACCATATTCTTTATTTTTTTGAGAACAATAACTTCCTGTCTAATCTATGCTGTTTAAATGAAAAATATCTGAAAAGAGTTAAACAGCAACAGCCTCCTGGGGTTTTTGCCATTTCTCCTCCTGTTGACTACTTGTGATTAAAATCCAGAAAAGACTAACATTTTTGAAAGTTCATAATCACAGAAAATCCTAAAGTTCATTGTTTTTCAGTTAAATACAGATGCCTAAAGGAGGTCAGGGTTAGACATTTAAATTGCACAATTATTTTCTAGACTAGAACTCTATCCCTGGGTTTGCCACACATCTCTAGGAAGCACACACCAAGTCACTGCAAGTTGTCCAAACTTGAGCCCTGGGAACACTAGGAATGCAGGAATGCAAAGTGGACTTCAATCATTACATGTCTTTTTGAAGGGCTGAGTGTGAGTTCTCTTGTTGGCTTATGAAGTATGGGAGAAACCCACTAGATTTTTCCTGTGCTGGCTGAGCTGAGCTGCAACATCACAGTATTGATGTTGAATTATCATGGAAACACACAGTGGACCACAGCTGGGTTTGCTTAAAGACACAGGTGCACTTCAAACAAAAACAGGGGTTTTGTTAAATTTCTATCCCTGGCTGTAAGAATTATTTGTAAAATGTTGTCATGTGCCTAGAGCAAAACATCACAGTTGCTTCTGGAATCTTGCTGTCCTGAGGGGATCCTAGTTTTTTACAGGGCCAGTAGGACAGATCACTGAAAATCAGGACTGTCCCAGTGGAATTTTTCTAAAATAAACTTCAAAGGCTCTAGGGGCAAAGCAGTTCAAATCCATGGACAAGTGCCTTCAGGACAGAAGAGGAAATGCTAGTGTGAATTTAGACCATTAGTGCCTTTGAAAATCTACCCCTTTTAGCCGCAGCCTGTTCTGCAAGAGCAGTTTTGTCCAGGTGTTGGTTATGAACATTCACTGTGTAAACAAACAAATCCTCTATGCCATTTTATACTATGTGCTCCAGCCAGGACTGTGCCTTGAGGCAACGCTGGGCTGTAAGGTAAGATTTTAGTGAGGAAATTTTCTGTCCTCAAACCATTTACAAAAGTCCTTGCATGACACAACCTGAAGTACTAGGAAAAGAAGCCCCTATATGGATTACTCATCTGTCCTAAAGCAGAGGCTGTATTTTACATCTGTTTTGGCCACTGGAGGTCAGTGTTTTGGAGCGGAATGGACATAATCCATTTGGTAATCCTCTGTTACTGCCATAAAGACAGGAAGCACTGTACCAGACCTTTCCATGCGTCATTGTGGTGTTTAGTATGTGTCATCTTGGCTTGACATGGGAATATGAGTACATTCAGCAGCAGTCAAGGGGTTATATTTTTGAATAGTGTGAGAACAGCTGCAGAGAACATAGTTATTTCTCAGAGATTATGTAATGAAGTTGCATGTTGCAGAGTGCAATTGTGGTTTAGTGTGCTAGATACTCCTTACTCACGTCACTGAATAATGTGACACCGGGGCAAAACATTAGCAAAGCCAATAGGAATAGTTGCCTAATAGTACTTCATGCTTCATTTACAGCTGAGACCAGTTCTAGCAGCTTTGGCTCTTCTGTTTGCATGGTTTTCACTTCCCTCCTGTTGGTGCTGAGAACAGAGAGTGGGTAGGAAAGGAGGTACATGTACATACTCTTTCCATATTACTTTATTTTCTTTCACGTTTCTGGGATTGGGAGGCTCTCTAAAAAAATGGGTGAATAGTAGTGTACCCCACTAATGGCCACGAAATAGCAGTTTGTCCAAGAGCCCAATACTGGGTCCAAGACTGTTTAACAACTTCATCAATCAACTAGTTGATGACCAGAGTGCACTTCAGCAAGTTTGCAGAGGGCCTATGAGGAGTAGCTGGTATGCCAGAGCATCAGGCTGTCATTTATAGGGACCTCAACAGGCTGCAGAAATGGAATGAAAGCAGTGGGAGCTGGAAAAGCAAATGGTGCAGAGGGAGAGCCTCATCCTCTAGCTCCTTGCAGAGGTCTCCCAACCCCTCTATGTCACTGGTATCCTTTGCCTTGCTCCAACTGGCATTATGCTAATCTTTCCTAGCCTATCCTGCTCCAGTCAAGAGCATATTTTGTCATCCCCACAAATTCTGTCACTGCCAAATATGAGAGAAATAAATAGATAATTTTGTCCCTTTCTGTCAGGGCAGCACAATTCATCTCTAGAAATTCCTCATTGGGATTTTTTCATTATTAACATGTTATCAATCATAATCACACCTGAGACATGAAGCCAAATTCTGCTCACATTTTTACTGGTTCAAATCTGGAATATGTGATAAATTGAACAAATTAATTCCTGATTTACCGTGTCTTAGGAGAGAAAAGAACCTGGCTTGTTTATGAAGTTTGTAGAGTACAAATATATCATTCAAATAAATTTTCTATTAAATACAGAGACAGGTAAAGGGAATGGAAAAATTGTGCTAGTGGGAAACAGCCAGCCTATTCCTGGCAGTATTTTAATTATATCAATAGGTAAGCCAACCTCCATTTTTTTCTTTTGTCTTTCGAATGGAATGGTTACAGTCAGAAGAAGCATATGTGGTTTTCATCTTCAATTTCTTTTTGTCTTACAAAATTTAATTTCTGGTCGCTGAAAAACATGGATAATAATTTTTTGTTTTAAAAGAGTGACAAAATCCAAAAAATCTTAGGAAAAGTCAGATTTGTGGTAGATCTTGTTTCCAGCTGAAAGATTTTCACTGAAAAAAACAAGTCACTCAGAAAACCACTCAAATTGCCCCTTCTTTAAACATGGGGATATTTTGAAGGAATTATGAAAAAAAAGGGATATTTAATTCCTGCTTGTGAAAGCAAAGGTGATTTCTGTGATACTTTTATCCACATAAAAGGGAATAATCTCAGGGCTGAGAAAAGTTAGGCTTCATCATGTTTTGTTGCTATTCTAGTTCTTCAGGGGCATAAGTACATGACCACCTTGATGCTGGAACATAATTTAAGTTAAACAGTAGAAGGCAAATTCTTGCAGTGCAATTCCAAACACCCTTTCCTGAGAGTATCCTGCCCAAGAAGTGCTCACACTATTTCTCTTTTTTCCCAGGGCCAATTTTTTTAGTAATTCTCTTGTTGTTTGCTTGACCTTTTTATTGGGCTCTCTCACAATGGTTTCCATCTGTTTCTGTATTTCATGTACTTCATTAAAAAACACCCACTGAAACATCTTATGACTCATTAGATTATTGGGTCATGGATCTTGCAAGTGGGCTGTGTTTATGTGGTGGCTCCCACAGCTTGGTGTTCTGAACTTCAGCGAGAACTTCACATCTTTCTTCACTGAATGATGACTGCCAGCATCCATAAAGTTTCCTCCAAAATACATCACATCAGCATGTTGCTGCTGGTGGCAGATAGTGGCAGCTATGAGGATCTCACAGATCCATCTTAGCAGAGCTCTGGTCATCACCCTTGAAAAGTAAAAGAACATTTATAGTGAGAGACAATTACAGGAAGGGGTTACTTTGACTGGAAAACTGATGAAAAATGATGGCAGAATAAGAGGGAAGGTCTAATTCATTCAGCTGAGTACTCACAATAAAAGCTGGCTGTGATATCACGTGACGTCTCATACTGGAACTCCTGCAGTGTTGTATTGCAGGGTGTCGTGTATGCTGTGCAAGAAAAACAGGTTGAAGAGGAATACAGAAGAGTGCAAAAAGGAAGCTACCAGTGTGACAGCAGTTAAGGCTGGGTCACATGAGGGGTACATAAAGATCAAAATTTCTGGGCTCAGAGAAAGCTATTTATATACATTCAGTTGGAAGATAATTTGAGATGATCTATAGGAAACTCTCAGTCTAAGAGGGAGGATTGAATATTTGGTAAGTTTTCTCTGACTAAATAGAATGAGCCACAGGATAAGTTTGGAGCTGAACTGAGCAAGCCTTCTGACAGGACCTCAGGTCTGTAGTATAGTGCAAATGTATATGAGAGCTGTGGCTTTTCCTTTCTCCATTGGTCCTGGCACAGGTCAGCAGGGTGAGCATGCATGTTACCTCTGCCACAGGAGTTCCTACAGAGGCTGTACAGATTGGCCTGGGGTGTGAGAAGGTCCTTGGAGCATGAGGGGGAAGCAGAGAAGGAGGAGGCAAAGGAGCAAATCTCCTACTAAAGGCATGACATATATTGGAATTGTATCCATTGCCACTGGTAGAAGACAACTGCTCATCAACTGTGCAAAGTTGTGCAAAGAAAAGTATCATTGAACTGAAAGCATCATTTAGTGCAAGAAATGACAATTGCCACATTGTACCCATTAGAAGCTTCTCACTTGTGACTAGGTACAAGATTCCGTAGCTGAAATTTTTTTTTGAAGTTTTAATCACCTATGTTCTCAAATATTAGTTTCTTTTTTCATCTCTCCATTTACACATCTGTTATCTAAAGTGAAGGACATCCAGAATGGTGTCACTAGACTGCTCTTCAGGAGTTTTATCACTTTGTCCTGTGTAACTTTCACTGGCTTCCCTTCCTTCATCAAATTAAAATGTAAATTACATTCCTGAGGGCTGATCCTTTTCTTCATCACATCAGTTTTAAGCCTGTGTAGCTCTCTGGCTTTATTAGTGGTGACTGTGATTTAGAAACACCCTCTGGCTTTTAGAGCTACCCACAGATTTAGTCCATCTTGTCTATCATCTTGTAGTCATGGCAACACCAAGACCTTGAATCTGCATATGCTTCCGTTGTCTGTGTCTCTTTTCTGCCTCTTTTCCATAACTGGCTATTCTTTACTTCCTTTGATATTCTATAATTTTTTTTTCCATTTGAGTCACTGTGTTACCTTCAATATGCAATTATAAAAAAATGTCCTTTGAAGTTTCTGATTGAACCTATGCACAGCTAGAAGAAAAATGGCAAAACAAAGAATGTCTCCAAAAAACAGAAGACTTGATTCTTCACACTCTACTTCGGTAGGAGCTGAAGGCTTTCAGTCCAAGGAGATTGGATTATTTCCAATGCTGGGCTATCCAGAATCAAATTGTTTCCCTTGTAGCAAACTATTTGCCTAATTTACTAATTATCAGATTAAATGGGATTAGACATGGGACTTTTCAGATGATTCCAGGCAATAAAACCAATGAAATAAATTCTCTTCCAATGATACTTGCACAGAAATGTTACTGTGGGGTAATAGTCTGCATGCAAAAGCTGTTTCCAGCTTTGGAAAACATACCATTTCCATGCACAGCTCTGGTGCAGCCAGTGCCAGCAGGCATAAGCTCTGTGTGGAATTTTGACAGTGTTTGTACCTCAGGGTATGACTGCATAGTTACATCTCCTGAGAAAGACAATGGAGAAAGCAGACAGCTAAAAAAGAAGATGAAAAGGAAATGGATAGTGTGGATATGAAAGAGCATTTACACACTTCTACTTGACTGAAAGCTTCTGGAGAGAGCTCTCAGATCTAAATCCCTCAAAGATCTGGAGTGTAACTCATCTAACCTCAACAGTAGATGCCCAAGTAAAAATTCCTGACCTTCAACTTCCTCTTGAGAAGTTTCCAGCTTGTAGGCAGCTGAAGTCTGCAGGCACCTCTGCCTTTAACTTCTATATTTCTTATCATTTATTTATGTTTCTTTTATGAACTGTACTCAGCAAGGCCTTAACTTTAAGTGTTCTCTGTAGTGGGGTGCCTGTCTCATAGTCAAGCATTTTGAGCATCCACAGATCCTCTGTTCTTCTGCCTGTGTAGCCTAAGAAAACCAGAATGTTGGGTGCAGTGTGAACAAACCAAATGTCATTGGGTTCTTCATCAAATAAGCAGTGCTGGTGGTAGTGATTCAGTGAGTATTGCTTCCAATTTTTGTTTTGTTTTTTAATACAATACTCTGTGGTTAGCACACTTTTCTAGGCTCTGGAAGACAGAGATGTACTTCCTTTCCCTTCCTGATTTACAATACCATGCTGGCATTTATTGCTGGCTGCATGAGATATTTTCCTTCATGTGCTGCCTGTTCATTACTATCTGGAAGGACCCAAGTCATTATGTAAGAAGCTTAGACTTTTAGCTTGTGGTTGATGATCCTCCCCACCAGTGGGGATTTGTATTATGCTTTAATGCTTTAGTAGTGCTTAGATTACTTTGTCAATCCAACTCTTGAACATCCATCCAAAAGCTTTGGTCTCTTGGATATAAAAATGGGAATGATTGGGTGGGAAAAGATTTAAGAGATTTTTGTACAAAACAGTGCAATTTACCTGAAGAAAAAAATCACATTTTTATTCACTTGGAAGCATTTTAATGACAAAGTCTAATGAACAGTTGCAGATGTTCTGTGTGAAATGGCTCAGTTACAGCAAGAACTACATGAACTTTTACCCTGAACTCAAACCAAGATCTTTCTCTCTCCTTCCTTCCTTTTTTTTTTTCTTTTTTTTTTTTTTTTTTTTTTTTTTTTTTTTTTCCTGATGTACTAAGTTGTTTAGTTAAACTTTTGGTTTGTTTCTTTTCCTGTTCATATGCCTCTTTAGTCCTTTTTTCAGCTGGGACTAGTACTCAGCTACCACCAGGAAGGCTGATTTGTGAGACTCACAGCCAGCTCTGTTCTGTGTTGGGCAAATTTGTTGCAGGAATAATTGCCACACCAGCCTTCCTAATCTTTTCCATTTGTAGACTGTAACTAGAATGCAATACCAGAAGAAGGAGGTGGTCATCTTTCTGTCAGTGGAGATGTCAAAGAAACAGTAACGGGAAAGTGATACCCCAGTGACAGGGTAGAGATGAGTAAAAACAACGTGGATCAGGGGCCTGTGTTCAATATACAACAGCCTTGCCATGTACATCATACTTGTGGTAGGCTGTAAAGGCATTATTCCCTGGTTAGTGCTCCTCATTCAGCTCAAGTCACAAAGCAGTTGTGGACAGGGAGGGAAGGGCAGAATAGGACAGAGAAAGCAACCGCTGTACATTCAGCTGTGCAATATTTTCTTTGGTCTTGCAATGAACACAGATACTTCAGCTCTGTGGCTGGAACTTGGCAACCCTTCTCCAAGTTCCTTAAAAAGAAACAAAACCGTTCTACCATCTGTGAGACCCACTTGTCCTTTCCCTCTCCTCACACATATGCTCACTGCATTACGTTACCAGTTGAATATAGCAACATATACATGCAAAGATTTCCAGCTGAGATGAATAGACATTCTTTTACAGTTACCAGAATGGAGTCAGCTGTGCAGCAGACCTGCTCTGCCCCAGTCACTTAACCCATAATGTTTCAGGGGAAGGGAAATATGGAATGGCAATAGAATTTGACTTAGGCAGAATGTGGTAATTGTGATTCAGTCTAGAATATAGCTAGTGCATGATGATTTGAGACCATGGGCCAGCAAAGTACTTAGTTATGCACTTCACTGAAAGCAGGCACAGTCTTACTGACTCCTCATATTCTGGAAATTAGAGCTTGAATGTTTTATTGGGCTGGAGCCTCCATGAAGACATGGTAGGATCATGGATAACTGGGTAGGTGTCTTTGTATATTTTGGGCAAATGCAATTTTATTTTGTGTGAACTCCTGAGGGGTGTGACAGGAACTTGCTTTGATCCAGAAAAGGTGACTCCCATTAAAGTAATGCTGAATACAATGTACCTCACCATGGGGTTTAGGTACATTGACATGCTACTGCTATCACATTGCTGACCAGCTCCAACCAAGGACAAAGCTTCCAGCTGCCTGCCCAAAACACAATCTGCTGACTGACATCTCTTGTGGTGGCTTTACATTCAGTTGCAAAGCTTAAATTCAGGTACACTCCTCCAGACTACATTATTTAGTAGTATGGTGATAGAGAATGGATTTAGAAATGTCACTGGCCTATCATTGTTTTGGTAACTCCCCATCAAAACTCATAGGAATTTTGGCTTTCCTTTTGAGATCAGCTTTCTACACTTGTGGAGGGATTCACTAGGATATGGAATAAAACAGCCTTTGCCCACAAGAATATAAATTCTTTAAGACATGCTCCGTTGGTGAAGAGGTTGGCAGGAGCTGGTTTCGAGGGGGGATGATTTTCACACAGAGTGACTCTCATCCTTTTTTTACATATTAAAGAGCCAAGGAAAGACCAAGAAAAATTTGTTTCCTTCTCCTCTAACATAAAGGGGGCCAGATTCTCAGCTGGTCTATATTAATACAGTTTTTTGAACTCTTTGGAGTGATGCTGATTAAAACCATCTGAAGACCCTGTCTAGGATTTCTTGCTATTTTTACAAAACTGTAAAAAAGGGATCTACTCAAGTCTCAGTAGCTATGAAAAGAAGCTATATTACAGGATGCATTTTAACAACAGAAGCAAGAGAAAAAATGTGTATGGGGAAAGAATGCTTTTACATGAAAGGTAAAAAACATGTGGAAAAAATTACCAAACAAATGACATATTGAAAGACTTTAAGACTATGGGTTGGATACACTAATGAATTTGTCGGACATTAGCAGTGTGTTTTTTTTAAATTTTTTTGTTGTTGTTTCTGTTGTTTTGTTTTGCTTTTGAAAGTGGGTGTTTTAATTCAGCAATATAAATAAACCATTTTCTTTGCCTTTTTTACCCACATAAACATCGATCTTAAAAATCTACTATATGTCTCTTTTTAATGAACTATGTAAAAAAAAAA